CTCAAACGAACCCTAATTGTTCCAAGACAGTTCTACTTTTCCCTCTAATTTGGGTGGAGTATAACATCCATTTCATAGCACTGTCTTATATAGTGAAGGATAAGGTCATTTTGGTCAAATCATTTTTAAACGAAAAATTATCAAATAGACCAATATATGCAAATAGGGCGTGTGCAGCCCACTTGCCATTTATGTTGATGAAAAATATAACAATTACATTGTGTTTGGTTGGAAAATTTGAGAAGAAATTTGAAAAAGAAAAAAGAAAGGTGTGTAAAAGCTGTTGGAAATGGTTATAAATTCTGGGTAAAACCAGAATTTTATCCTAAGTTCGGTCTATTTTTTAGGTGGGCCCCGTGCGTCAATTTTCACGGGTCAAAGTGGTAACGCGTTCTATGCCGCGTTGTGATTCACGTGGTATATTTGGTTGCTCAAAACAATTACCGAGTGAATGGGAAATTGAAACCAAAGTGTGCTCCATGAAAATGAAGTTTTGGTAGAAATTTCTTAAAGTTATAAAATGGCTTGTCCCACATTGATTTGGTGGGAGGTTTTGAAAGGGTTTATAAGGCATGGGTTTGGTACTTGGGGTGTGCCCCAAGGGGTACCCAAGTGTTTTAGAGTGAGAGGTTATGGGCAAAATGGACTAGATCCATTGGACTCAAAAAACCACCACGCGTGCCGCCGCCTCCCGTCCGGCTAGGCTGAGCTTGGCTGGCCCAATACTAATCTTTTTGGATCAAAAACATTTGAATTCAATTTTATTTTTGGTAAAATAAAATCCAGAATTCAAATTAAACTAGTTTGGTTTTTCTGTACATCCAAACAAGGCCCTTTCCGTATTAAACCGGAAATAATCTAATCCGGATTTACTGTACACCCAAACAAGGCCTTTCTCGTTTTTGTTATCTGTTTGAATTGTAAGAGGTTGGGTTGGGCTTGTTCAGCCTAATACTAATCTTTTTGTGTCAAAAACATTTGAATTTAATTTTATTTTAGAATTCAAATTAATCTGGTTTGGTTTTTCTGTATATCCAAATAGGGCCCTTTCCGTATTAAACCGGAAATAATCTGATCCGGATTTACTGTACACCCAAACAAGGCCTTTCCCGTTTTTGTTATCTGTTTGAATTGTAACCCAACAGATTCAAATCTGTTTGAATTCAAAACCAACAGGTATCATACCTGTTCAATTCAAAAACATAGAGCCACCATTCCATCTATAAATAAGGACAGCCCTCATTTGGATTTGTAGAACTTTAATTTTCGTCCTTCATAATTCTGCAAATATCCTCTTTATTTTACTGCATTATTTTCTTGTCAGAGAGAGTATAAACACTTTGTGTGTTCGTTAGACAAATAATTTGTAGTGCTTCTATTGTTTGTAGTAGATCATTTTATCCTGGGAGATAGACGTCCACATTCTGAAAGCACCGTGGAGAGGACGAATCCGTCTTAAGGACACAGTGTCAAACACTGGACTTGATCAGATTATAATTCGAAGAAATTAAATCAAATAAGCTATTTAATTAATTTTTGTGTTATTGTTATTTATTTAAATCAGATTTTAATTTTGTTTTTGTAACAAAATAAAATCTGATTTTATTTATTTATTTATTATTTCGAGTTTGATTTTTGTAATCAAACCAATTCTCTCCTTTTCTTTATTTCTTTAAATTCTAGTTGTTGTTTTGTACACAATAGAATTATATCTTTTAAATACAGTGAAGATTGTCCTACAAAAGTAAGTGAAATATAAGTAAAAAAAATTAATTTCAATTATTAAAATTGATAAATTTTATCATTGATTTGAAATTTATTTTGAAAATATGGGCTGAAAATTTTTCCTAATTTTTTTAACTTCTAAAACAATCAATACCGAACAATCTTTCGTAACGGTTCCTTCTGTGTATTGCACTTGTTTGGCAATTGTCTGTGAGGAGAATAAAATGTTAGGCACAAACATGAAAATGTTGTTTTTTTTTCCTTTAATAATAAATTTTTTGAATTAATTACCTAAAAGTTCTATTTATAAATGTTATGGTAGCTCAAATTCTATTTAAGATTTTTTTTGAACAAATAAATCCTATTTAGTAAAACTGATAATATTATCAATTTTTTTTTTCAATTTTTAAAACTAAAAATATTATCAATTTTACATAATAATATTTCAGATAATTATTTTACTAACTGATAAAAAAAAATGAGATTAAACGTTTTTATCATTCTACTTATTAGTTTGATTCAATTATCTAATAAAATAGAAAATATTAACAAATTTTTTTTTTCAGTTTTAAAACTAAGAATATTATAATTTTTAAATTTTTTTTTTTTTTATAAATTTTGCACATCAATGTTCCATCATCATGCTCCTTTATGGACACAAAATTTTCAGTTTTGCACAGTTTTTTCAATTTTTTCAAAAAAAAAAAAAACATAATTATTATTAGTTTTTGCACATAATTTTTTTTTAGTTTTTTTTTTAATTTAAAAGTTGATATTTTAAAGTTTTAAAAATCAAAATAAATGTCAAATATCATGTTCCTTTATAGATAATCATAAATGATGAATAATCATTGTTTAAATGACAATTTTGATTACTTAAAATTTAGGGGTTTTTTTTTTTAAGGTCCATGGTATTATGATTTTATAGCATAAAGGACACCAAATATTTTCATAATGTCTAAGGTCCCTCAACAATATTTTCATAATGTCTAAGGTCCCTCAACCTTGATCTAGAGAAATTTCAGTCCAGAGAAATTTCAATCCAGAGAAAATTGGTCCCGAGAAATTTGGTCCAGAGAAATTTCAGTCCAGAGAAATTTCAGTCCAGAGAAATTCTGGTCTAGAGAAATTTCTCTGGACCAAATTTCTCTGGATGAGTTTCTCTACTTTTCTTCTCATTCACATCCAAATCATTGTGATTCATTAGGTAAGCAACATTGTTCAACTAAATTCAATTGGAAAAATTCCACATTGTAATATGTAAGCAACATTAGAATGGGATAACAATGCCAACTTACCAGAACCAGAGAAATTCTAGAAAAATCTGAGTATTTCTCTAGTTTGTTATTGAAATATCAATTGAGAATTTCTTTGGTTTATTAAAAATAACAATTGAGAATTTCTCTGGTTTATTAAAAATAACAATTGAAAATTTCTCTGGTTTGTAATATCTGGAAAAATTTCTGCAACTTACCCAAATCTGTTCTTTGCTTTTTTCCAGTTGAATTTTTCAATCGAAAGTGTTTCTCTGTTGAACAATGTTCAACTGAATTCAACTGGAAAAATTCCACATTGTAATATGTAAGCAATATTAGAAGGGATAACAATGGCAACTTACCAGAACCAGAGAAATTCTGAAAAAATCTGAGAATTTCTCTGGTTTGCTATTGAAATATCAATTGAGAATTTCTTTGGTTTATTAAAAATAACAATTGAGAATTTCTCTGGTTTGAGAATTCACCAGGTTGGTTCCTTTCATTTACAAAAACATTCTGTGAAGACCAATCAAACATTAGCCAAAAAATTCTATTTTCTGTCACCATTCGAATTCGACCACTTAGCTTACTTGATCTTCTCAAGCTGAGCCTGAGTATCCTTGGACAGCTGCATTCTCTCAACCTTCAAATGTCAACCACAGCAGCTTCATTTTTGGAGCTTCACACCGCGCACATACAGCTTCAACCCATGCACATACACAACCCATGCACACAGTCACACACATACACGGCACACACACACACCACAACACACAGATAACTAGCTATATCAACATTACCTCTCCAGAGAAATTTTGAAATTTCTCTGGATCAATCCAGAGAAATTTTAGCGGCTTGGTTCTTCTCTGATTTGTCACTTATATACTCTATTACCTCCAGCTGCTGATCCATTCGAACAGCATTCTAGGTGAATCTGATTTTGGATCTTTCAATTCTCATGAATCTGATTTTGCTTTGGAATTAGGTTTTGTTGGGAAAGATTTCAACAGGAGCCCAAAACGACTTGGAGAAGGTGACTAAGATGACCTATGCTCAAGTGGCGATCTATGGTTTCAGCGATAAAGTAGGTCTTCTCTCATTTCCTCAAAGAGAGGACACATTTGAGATGACGAAAGTCGTATAGCAGCAAGACCGCTGCAATCATCGACAACGAAGTAAGAGAATGGGTGGCAAAGGCATACGATCGCACGTTACAGTTGATAGAGCAGCACAAAGAGCACGTAGCTTAAATCGCAGAGTCGATCGATGTGTCCCTGGCGGAGGAGCTGAGTGCAGGAAGGAGAGCAACTGGTTAAGGGTTGGGGATTTGGAGCCAACGGTGATCAAGCTCAGGACAACGTGGATGGAGAGGGGATGGGGTGAAGGACCTTAGATTACAAAAGAACAGATTGTGGACCTAATCCATTACTAAAAGTTGGATAGGGACCTTAAACCGATTTTCTCTAAATTTAATAGGATTTGAAAGTCCAAAAAATCCTAATTAAAACTTAATATAGTATAAATTTATAAATTATAACTTGTGGGTAAATGCCCCTAAATTTTTTAGATTTTTTTTCATAAATATTATTTTTAATTATTTTTTTAAGTGTGTAATTTTTTTTAAGATTCTTGATATTAAAATTTTATAAGATAAACGGCATACAATATTTTTATAGTAATTAAAGTTCCTTAACACTTTTGTAGAGAAAATTTGACTCATAAAAAATTTGTCCGGCTTAGAAAAATTTGGCCCAAACTTAAAGAAATTTCAATTTTAATAAAAAAAATTTGATTATTTTATTGAAAAATTTCAAAATTTCTTTGTATCACAGAGAATTTTTTGAATCGGGGCCAAAATTTCTTTATGTCAGATAAAATTTCTCTAAGTCAATTTTTTTTCATGATAAAAAAAAAATTTAGATCTATCTTACTGCACAAAATTAGAGAATGATGTTGCACTCATTTCCCAAGAATTATTAAAGATAAAAAAAATTAAAAATTATTTTTATAGAACTGAAATGTTAGCAGTCTCTCGAGTGAGTGAGAGATTTTTTAATCGCGAGCGAATTAGTAAGTACATCAGAAATTATTCAAGACACATCTTCTAATCCAAGACACAAACATCAAACCCAGACGCTTTCTCCCAATCTTTTTTTCATAGTACATATAATAGAGAAAGCGCAACCTAGAACCCTAATCTTCAATCCGTCTTCCATCTCCAAATTCCTCATCATAAAGGTAAATCTCCAAAACACATATTCGATTATCTTTCTTAGATTCTTCAACACAGTTTACGATTCTATATTAACATGGAAATGTTTATGTTTGTATATGTATGCATGTTATTCTTGTACCTGCTCTTGTTGTTCTTCACCAGAATCATCACTATTTTCTCCAAACCTTCATCGAATTTTTTCATTTAATTTGATTCCAAATTTGAGTAAAAAGCTTGATTTGATATGAACAACTCCAACTCTTTCATCAAATTTTCATCAAAATCTTTTTTAAAAGTCCCCTCTTATCCCAAATTTCTCTTTTTCATCAAATTTGAATTATTAAAAAAAAGAGAAAAGGTTTCTTCTTTAGATTTTATGAACATTTGATGAATGGATTGGAGATGGGTTTTGAACATTTTTACATCAAATTTAAACTTGATGGGAAAAATAATAATAAACTTGATGCGTTACTCCTCTCCCAAACGTTTGGGTCTTAATTAGCATCACACAAAATTATAATAAATAAATAAAAATGAATACACCCATATGCATGCAATAAATCTTGATGAGAGTAATGTTGTGGGTTAATTTACCCACTTGCACATTTTCTTGGAATAAGTCCTGTATTTCTCAATTAAAATACTATTGAGTCCTGCTAACACTATTTTTATAAGGTTGAATAATGTGTTAGTAGGACTTGCTTGATGGATTTATCAAAAAAAAAAAAATAATAGGACTTGATTGATGGTACTTAAGTGGAAAAGTAGGACTTTTCAAGAATTTCCCCTATTTTTTTGGAAGATGGAAATGCAAAGAATATGTTATTTTTTTGCCCTTGTTTCTTGTAAAAATTTCTTTCCTATTTCATTTTCTTGAACATGGAGTCTGTCTGGTTATTTCAGATATGAAATCATTCTTGAACTGTCAAGTTAATAATTGGACCAGTAATCCAGTAATCTGCTTGGTGTTTTTTTTTGGTTTTTTGAACTTCTAAATTGAGATATGAATGTGATGATATATTTAGATCCTTTTAGGGCTAATACTTTTTATGAAATAGAAGGAAACAAGGCCAGTGGCCATTACCCAAACCTAGTTGCATCAATCCAGTGAATTGGGTACGATCCTAACCTCCAACTTTATTTCCACGAATTAATTGTCCTAAAATTTGAGCGCACAATTTCAGTAATGACTGTCGTCGATTTTATCATTAAACCTAGCAATTACCCTCCTTATAAGAAAAGTAGCGAAAGTAACTGGTAGGTGCATAGTTAAGGAGTTTTTGCTACAGCAATGCTAAATTATGTTCAAAGAACTGGTAGTGTAGTTTGTTTAGTTGGCTAAGAACCACAATCACAGCAAGATGATGCATATAACTAATCTCTGATTGATGCTTCAAATTTGAATATTCAAGACAATATTTTTGAATTAGCTTACTGTTTATATGTGAGTAACTTTTGCCAAAGTAATTCTTTATAAGTTTCAATGAAGTGGAATGGATATTTCATCATATGTCCATTCTTATGTTTGGTTCACTATAAAATGATGAAATCTGTGTTATTAATGGATTAATCATTCACCATTGTTGAGGGAATAGTCATTCCATAGGAATGTTATGAAATGACCATTCCATTCCACTCTATTTCCTTCCAATAAACCAAACACTACATAAGTGTTCCCTTGATGCTTTTAATATGTATATATATATTGAAGAAGAGGTAAGATGATAGAACTACACTTTTTTGTTATTTTGTGTATCTTTGCCGTTGTACTCATGCACTATATTGTGAATTGGAATTGTACAGCAATTTAATTTTTGTTACCTGATTTTTAATTTTCTGTAGACTCCATAAATTTGCAGAATGAAGAGCGTTCAGAGTTCTACTTCAGATATAATTAGTACTTTACCAAGTAACATCACAGAGAACATTCTTATGTGCTTGCCATTGAGGGATGCAGTGAGGACAAGTGTTTTGTCAAGTAGATGGAAGTATAAATGGGTAACACTTCCAAAACTCGTATTTGATCAGAAGTTTTGCCAAGAATCATTGGGAAACAAACGACTGAAGACAATTATCTACCAAGTTCTGTTGCTTCATAATGGGCCTTTAGTTAAGTTCAACCTGTGTGTTCCCCAATTCAAGACCTGCCTTGACATCAATCATTGGATCCTTATTCTATGGAGAAAAAATATTCAGAAATTCACTCTTAAACTTGTGTCTGGCCAGCACCATAAAATTCCTTTTCACCTATTTTCATTTCAACATCTAAGGCATTTGACTCTTGGAACTTGTAAATTTGAACCGCCACCTACTTTCAAGGGATTTAGCATGCTTGTCAGACTTCATTTTGTGAATGTTGTTATTGCACATGAAATGTTTGGAAATTTCATCTCCAACTGCCCACTGCTTGAACGATTGATATTAACTAGCTGCAACATATTTGACTGCTTCAAGATCAATGCTCCTAGTCTCAAATATTTTCTCTTTTATGGAATTTTCAAGTCTATTTGTTTCTGAGGTGTATAGGACCCCCCCTTCTTGCGGAAATTTCGGTTTCCTTGTGTTCGTTGGATGCAAATAGTAAACAGCATGAGGGAAGAGAAGACTCTAATTTCGTCTAGTTTTTTCATTGTCTACCTGCCATTGAGAACCTGACTCTCGACAAGCAAATTTTGGAGGTAAGAAAGCTTCACATTGTATTTAGTGAACTAACAAAGCTCTATTAGGTTTTCTTTTCAGAATTTGTTTTCTGAATATGTTTTGAAAGAAAAAAAAAAAGAAAAAAAGATTAGTTAAGCAAAAATAAACACCAAAAAAATATTTTCAAATTTAGAAAGAAAAATTTGCCCATTGTTTTTTCTTTCTTTTTTTTTCCACCAAACTATTGAAAAAATTTCAAAATCAGATTCTGAAAATGAAATCAAACAGAGTGAATGTCTCTAACTTTCTGACCCATTTCCTTTAAAGTTCTTGGCTGTAGGTGGTGTTCCAAAGAGTCTCCCCAGTACTATGAACCGTCTCAAAATTCTCAATCTATTTCGGGTTTCTTTTCACAAGATTGACCAGGTGTCATGTGTTCTTTGCTTGATCAGAAGCTCCCCCAACTTACAGAAACCTGAAATCAGAGTGAGTTCACATTGGGCTGTTTGGTAACATTTATGTGTACAGTTTTTGTTTATGCTCACAAAAAATTTGAAATTTGTATACATAAACTTGTTTGATGTCTATTTTGGTTTTCAAAAATTGTAAAAAGTTTACAAAATTTACTAAAATTTTTATAATAAAAAAAGTTAGTTTCATTTGTTTAGAAAATAATTTTCATTCAGTCTTTCCTCCCCCATGCCCTCCAACCACCACCCATCGCCCATCACCACTTCAGACCTCCTCTTGCCAGTATTGCCGGCATGCACTCATCTCCAATCAAAAACTACCTCTAGCGACCACCCCATGCCAGAAACCACCTCCGGTCACCCACTCTCACTTATTTTCAAAACACGAGAGCACCAAAACATTTTTTTTTTGTTTTTTTACCAAAAGTAAACAATGAACTATGAACATTTTCAAATGGGACATAAGTCAATTGTTTCTCCTATGTACTTATTGTTATACCAGGTGAGTTCATCAGATTGATACGATACAATTGCATTTTCTTTGTAGTCTTTGACCAACACACTAAACGCAGTAAACTTGGAAGCTGTTACAGAACTTTTGCAAGCTCAAGACTAGTCAAAATTTCCTTTGAGTAGGCTTCGGCAAGTGAAAATGCTATTGTTAGGTGTGGAGCCTGTGATGGAGTTTGTCAAGCTTCTGTTACCGTGTTCAACTGCACTCAAGAAGATGGAAATATTGCTCGAACCAGGTTGTTCTTGTGAAAAAGCACTTGAGGTATTGAAAAAGTTGACACGATTTCCTCGAGCATCACCATTAGCAGAGCTCATATTTCTAAATTAGTTGATGATAATTTTAATTCTGTCAAAAAAAAAAAAAAAAAATAATTAAAATAAAATAAAAAAAAAAAAAAAAAAATCTTGTAGTAAGAAGAACCATGTTCTGGAAAAGTATCAATGAAATGTATCTAGGGTTGAAATTCAGACTATACTTTGTTCCAAGAAAGTAATTATTGATGCAGTGTTTGGTTCAACATGTGGGTTCAGGTTGATTTTAATTGGAAAATTGTCGAATAATCGATTTGTTGGTTCTTAAGTTAAAACATGAGGTGACAATGATAATTCATGACATATTTGTCAGTTGTACTAATTTTTGTTTTAAAATGTTATGATTTTAATTTGACAAATTTGTTTTTAATAAATTTGATATTTTTAGATTTGTCTTTTTAAAATTTTTGAAAACAATATCTATATTATGTATGTAGTATTTTTTTTTAAAATTATTTTAAAAAGGGTCAAAATCAAAAGAACAGATATTTCTATTTAGTAATGGAATTGGATTGTGAAAAAAATTTTATTTTTATTTTTATCCATTGGTAAATATTTTTTCCAAAAAATCACAATATATTGTAATTCTCTGTACTATAAATTGTGAATGAATCTGACTGCTGCTATTAATACTCTATCAATTATTTTGGACTTCTTATTTTTTATTTTTTTTGTAATTATAATAATAATAAATTATTAAAAAGGACATCAAAAATTTTGAAATACACCATCTCACTATTAAACCAACACACCTATTACATCAGGACTTAGAGTTTATGAGACTACCCATCTCTATCACCACTCATCTATCTTTTTCAAATTTCACTTTCAAAACTTATTCATCCCAAAATCTTGAAAACTCTTAGGAGATAATATTCCGACGGCAACGGTGGTAACCATTGGATTACATACACTTCTTCGGCAATGACAATGAGTGGAAGTTTTTCTGGTAACCACAACTCCATGAGACAATAATAAAAGCTCAGAAAAGGTTCATAACTATGATTGTGTTCTTAGCTCAGAATAGATTGATCTTGTAAGAATAAGCTTTTTTTAAAAAAATGGCAAAAATAATAAAAATTGTTAATCATTTTTTTTGGGACTGAACTCCCAAACATATAACTGAAATTTGGGAACATAAGTCCAAACATTATTTATTTGTTCAAGAACAGGTAATCGAACATTTTTTGTTTGTTCGGAAATAAGTAACCAAAGCAATGGCAGAAGCAAGTAAACAAAGGAGGTTAGACCATCCTTGGGTGGTCGACTGGCCAGTTAACCGAGAGGTCAACCGGGGGTGAAATCTTGTCTAGTTTTACTCACACAGAGAGCACACAAGTACAGTAAGGCCATGAATGAATCACAGAAAAATTAACCAGAGAAGCATAAAAGTGGATTGTATTGTGTGTGAAAAGAGGTATTAGAAAAAAAAAATCAAACAAATTGACTGAACTCCCAAACATATAACTGAAATTTGGGAACATAAGTCCAAACATTATTTATTTGTTCAAGAACAGGTAATCGAACATTTTTTGTTTGTTCGGAAATAGGTAACCAAAGCAATGGCAGAAGCAAGTAAACAAAGGAGGTTAGACCATCCTTGGGTGGTCGACTGGCCGGTTAACCGAGAGGTCAACCGGGGGTGAAATCTTGTCTAGTTTTACTTACACAGAGAGCACACAAGTACAGTAAGGCCATGAATGAATCACAGAAAAATTAACCAGAGAAGCATAAAAATGGATTGTATTGTGTGTGAAAAGAGGTATTAGAAAAAAAAAATCAAACAAATTGATAAACCTCGTAATTAGGGCTGCAAACGAACCGAGCCAAGCCGAGCTGAGCTGAGTCGAGCTTTGCTGAGCTCGAGCACGAGCTCGGCTCATTTACTTATCGAGCTCGTTTATTAAGCTTGAGCTCAGCTTGATAAGGAACTGGGCTCGAGGTCAGCTCAACTCGGCTCGTTAATATTAATGAAACTCAAGCTCGGCTTGGCTCAATAATTTTTTTTAATATTTTTTATATTATTTAACATATAAATAATATATTTATTATATAATTTAAATAAAGATAAACGAGTTAAGCTTATGCGAGCTCAGGCTCGGTTTGTTAAACGAACTGAGCCGAACCCTTAATGAGCCGAGCTGAGCTTGTTCATGAACAACTCGATTCATTTGCGGCCCTACTCATAATGAAGTACAAAAAAAAAAAAACCTTCTTAATCATTACAAATTTTTTCCACTGGTTTTGAGAAGTTTCACCATTGTGGGTTTTATGAGAGAGACTTTTTAGGGTGTAGGGGTGTGCATTTGAATGGGTAGAATGTTTTTACAAGGATAATTTTAGTATTATTTGGGAAGAGAAAAGAAATTTTTTTAAGACTTTTAGAATTTATAAGTAAGGATCTAAAGAAATGAGGGATTTAAAATAATTGATGGATGCTAATAGCAACACTCATATTTAAAATATAAATTTATAGCAATTCTGTTTTCCGCCCTTATATGTTGGGTCCACACAATCACTTGAACTAGATATTAAATAGATAAATATATTATTTATTTTCTTTCCTTCGTCTCAAAATATTATTTTCTCATCAACAGACAACAAAATAAATAAATACCTTACTTGGTAAATATGATTGCCTATATATTGCTTTAGGCTTCTGTTAGTAAAAATTATGCTAACTCCCAATCAATAGGAATTAAACAACAATTTTGACTAAACAATCAAACAAGATCAATCAAGCGACTGTGTTTTTTATTCAAATGCCTTGAAAGTACAATGACTTCTTTGGAACAAAAGGTACAATCAGCAATATCAAACAAAACAAACTAAAGATGATTTCAAGATGAAACCACCAATATTTACAAAGATTACAAATTATAGAGAGAAACTACTCCTAAATTTAGATAATGCTACTCCTAAGATAGAACTACACCAAAGATAGAACTAAGTTGTTGTGTTGTTGATGTCCTTTTCTGCTTGCATCTCTTTGTCTATTTATAATCAACACCCAAAGTTTCTTTCGGCAAGAACTGCTAGGCAGTTTTTCCTCCAATATAGCCACGTTTTCCACTTCCTCCATAAAGCCACGTTTGCCATCTCATGCATGCTCCACTCCTTCTCTTTGTGTCACGACCCAAACCCACTCCTATAGGTCTAGTGTCATAACCAGCCAGTAATCCTTCGATTACCAAATGCCTCTTAACAGAATAACATATAATTAGGGGCTGCAGAAGCAAATATACTAAATATACATAATCCATAGAGCTGTGCAGACATGCATGAGACAGAAATTTTCGAAACAAACTTATATTTATATATAGATGTGACGTCAAAAATGCATTAGTCATACGTCACCACAGCCACATATACAAAATTTCCAAAACATGTTCAGATTAAACATAAACATCAGAAAGTACAAAAATCCCAATGACTCAAAAGCTTGGTCAGATCTCAAAAGAGAACCTCCTTGGGAGGCACGGCGGCTGGCTGACTCCAGAACTTGCCAGGTAGCAACTTAGGCCTGGTCACGCGCCTGCTCACCTACATACATAAAAATAAATAGTGAGCGGGAGCCTAGTGAATAATAACAAAGTAAAGAGTTTTAATGAATGATGTCCATCACATAGTCAGAAATTAGAATTCATTTTAGAAATAGATTTACATTCACATTTTTTTACAAGTCAATAACAGAAATCAGAATACATACTTAATCTTACATCCGTTAGCGCTAACAGATCACATACGGGGCATCGAAGATTGTAACAACCCCGACCCATGATTAACGTTAATCTATGCTTAATTATGCCTAATAAATAATTAAAGTGAAATGTTGCATCATATGTTGCCTTATATGTATTTATATCTGTTTAACGCAGAAAGATCTATTTATGTTTCCGTTTCGGTTTGCGAATTGAAGGCCTTATCGGTATCCGATTCAGAAATTGACTTGATTTATATGTTAATTAGAATTTTTAGAATTTTATGGTAGATTTAATTGAAATTCGATTCGAAACGATTAAATTAGATTAATTTAATACCCATTTAATTAGCTTTAATGAACCACCACTAGGTAAGCCTATATAAGGCCACCCTCATCACCTCTTTTATACTTTATACTCTCATTCACTCATATCTTTGAACTCAAACGTAGAAGAGAGAGAGAGAGAGAGAGAGAGAGAGAGAGAGAGAGAGAGAGAGAGGGAAGGAATTGAGATAAAAAACTTGAAAAGAGAGATTTACTAGGAATTGTTGAAGAGTATGAGTGAATTTGGAGATTAAAACTTTTACACTTATGAATCTAACACTCTAGGTAAGAATTCTAGTCTTTGGCCTTGTAAAGTAGTTGATTAATGCATGGAAACAAGTGAATTAGGTGAATTCATAACAGAATTGGGATAGAATTGAAGAAAGTTAAGTCATTCCATACATGCATGCATATATCATAGCATTTTGAGTTTGAATTTCAAACAAATTCCCTATGCATTTGTCTATCTTGACTTTGCTTTGAAAATTCATCACATTTCATACCATTTGACCTTAATTGATCATGTTTGAAAAGCTTTAGTTCAAGAAATTTACATGCATGTCATATCTATATTATGTTTTCATAATTCAAGTTTGAGTTTGCTCAATTGTCAAGCTTAAGGGTCTTGATTTCATGAAATTATCCTTAATTCTTAATATTTTTCAAGTTTAAACATGTTTCCTTGAGTTTTGGCCCAAAAGAATAAGATTTGTGGTTTGAAATTGAGTTTTGAAGCTTGGAAGCAATTTTAGAAATTCCAGAATTCTGCTCCTGCGCTCGAGCGAAGGAATCCACGCTCGAGCGACCACTCTGAGGGCGTGCATTTCTGCTCGAGTGACCAGAAGTCTGCTCAAGCATGAAATGCATGCTCCCAAAAGTTTTTATGTTTTGCAGAACGCTCGAGCGGCAAAAGTTGCACTCAAGCGAGGGCATGTCTTTGTCTCTCACGCTCGAGCAATTGTCGAGTGGAAAAATCAAGCAACCAGTACTTTTGCAAAAGTTTACAGACTGCTTGAGCGACAGATTTTATGCTCAAGCGATCACTCACATTTTGCATGTCCGCTTGAGCGTAAGAAGTTACGCTCGAGCGAGGACCTTATTTTCAGTAATTTTTGTTAAGTGTTTTCAAGTGCATTTTACATCCTCTTTCCATCCTAGGCATTCCTAGGCCAAGTTTAAGA